CCTGTATCAGACGCACCTTAGTCCCCAGAGTGACACTATTGCTCTTCAGTACTTTGGAGAGGTATCTAACATCAGACTTTCCCATCGCAATATGTTTTTTTTTATTTCCTGGATACTGGTACCAAGAGTGCTGACTGTGGAGCCAAGCAGACTAAAGTTGTTAACAATCTTAATCTCTTCACTATCCATCCTGATGCTGCCAATTGGTCCAGTGGTGAGAATCTTTGTCTTCTTGACACTGAGCCTCAATCCATACTGAAGGTTGCAGTCCTTGACCCTCTGCAACAAGTGCATGAGGTCCTCCTCGGTTTCAGCAAGCAGGGTTGTGTCATCTGCTTAACGCAGATTGTTAATAGATCTTCCACCAATCTTGACACCACAATTCTCCTCATAAAGCCCAGCCTCTCGGATAATCTGTTCTGCATACAGGTTGAAAAGGTGTGGAGATAGGACACATCCCTGGCATACACCTTGCCCAATTTTGAACCATGCAGTGTTTCCTTACTCTGTTCATACGCCTGCCTCTTGGTCCAAGTATAGGTTTCGCATTAGCATGATCAAGTGTTCTGGGATTCCGATTCTTCTCAGAGTCAACCACAGTTTGTTATGATCCACACAGTCAAACGCCTTTGAATAATCAATGATACACGGATAGACATTCTTCTGGTATTCTCTGCTTTCAACTAAGATCCATTTAACATTGGCTACAATATTCCTAGTACCACAACCCCTTTCCCAGCCTGGACTTCTGGCAGTTCTCTCTGCTGATTAGGTTTGTTTATAAGAGACAGTCCTAGGGAGAGAGAGAGAATATACATGTGCAGGAAGAGAGATAGAGTAAAAGTGCTAGAACAGTGTGTCAAAGATATTATTAAAATCACCTGGGCCTTTTGTCGTAAATATTCAAGTGAAAATGTAGTGACTGTCACTAATCTCAAATTTTAAAAGTAATTTTTGCTTTCTTTTCTGGTTGCCTATTGGGCAAGGAGACAGGCTATCAAGACAAAGGCAGATCAAACCCACTGGCTGCTGTGCTGCAGAAAGATGGATAATCCTCTCCCATGTGATTTAACAGTCTCTGACAAACTGCTGAATAAGTTGGATTGCAATAAGATTCAGTGGGTCATTTGTTGGAGATTTTTTTTCCAGACTTACAGGGAAAGAGGAGTTTTGGCAGCCTAATGGCAAGAAGAGGACCTGAAGCACCTGCTGCAGAGGGTCAAGGACTGCAGCCTACAATATGGATTGAAGCTCAGTGTCAAGAAGACAAAGATTCTCACCACTGGACCAATTGGCAGCATCAGGATGGATGGTGAAGAGATTGAGATTATACACAGCTTTAG